TTCTTCTCTCTCTCTCTCTCTCCTCTCTCTCTCTCTGTCTCTTCTCTTCTCCTCTCTCTCTCTCCATTCTCTCTCTCTCTCTATCTCTCTCTCTCTCTCTCTCTCTCTCTCTCTCTCTCTCTCTCTCTCTCTCTCTCTCTCTCTCTCTCTCTCTCTCTCTCTCTCTCTCTCTCTCTCTCTCTCTCTCTGTTTATCCCCCTCTCTACCATTACCCCTTTCTCCCGCCCCCTCCCTCCCTCCTTCTCCCCCCCCTACCCCCCTCTTTCTCTCCAGGATCTTAAGAGCTAAGTCGAAAAACACGAAAAAGGAAACTACTTGTCTTTGCCTCCAATGTTTGTAAGAATAAGACCTGTTTCTTTAATTTTTTTCTCTCTTTTATTTATTGTCTTTATTGCTTTTTTTTTGTATTTGGCTTTGCTTCGTTCTTTTTTTTGTTTGTTTATTTGTTTTCTTTTTTTTTTGTTTTTGATGTCTCTTGTTTTCGTTGCGTTTCTATTTTCCTGTCTCTTCGATTCTCTTTTCTTCTTTCTCGCTCTCAGTTTCTTTCTCTCTCCCCCGCTCTCTCTCTCACTCTCCCTCCCTTTCTCTTTCTTTCTCTCTCTCTCTCTCTCACACAAACAATCCTCCTCTCTCTTTCTTTCTCTCTCTTTCCTCCATTCCATCCTCCTCCCCCCTCTCTTTTCACTTTCTCTTTCTCTCTCTCTCTCACTATCCCCCTCTCTCTTTCTTTCTCTCCCTCCTTCCCTCCCTCCCCCCTCTCTTTTTCTCTTTCTCTCTCCCTGTTTGTTGGCCTTTTGGAGATATGAATGCAGCGATATGGTGTGATCTCTATCTCTTGTCTCCCTTTATCTGGTTTCATCACCCTACTCACTCGTTCTCTCTCTCTCTCTCTCTCTCTCTCTCTCTCTCTCTCTCTCTCTCTCTCTCTCTCTGTCTCTGTCTCTCTCTCTCTATCGTCTCTCTCTCTCTCTCTCTCTCTCTCTCTGTCTCTGTCTCTCTCTCTCTATCGTTCTCTCTCTCTCTCTCTCTTCTCTTCTCTCTCTCTCTCTCTCTCTCTCTCTCTCTCTCTCTCTCTCTTCTCTCTCTCTCTCTCTCTCTCTCTCTCTCTCTCGCTCTCTCTCGCTCCTCTCTCGCTCTCTCTCCTCTCTCTCTCTCTCTCTCTCTCTCTCTCTCTCTCTCTCTCTCTCTCTCTCTCTCTCTCTCTCTCTCTCTCTCTCTCTCTCTCTTCTCTCTCCTCTCTCTCTCTCTCTCTCTCTTGGCTTCTAATTTCTGCTTGTTTTTGTATCTGTCTATTTGTCTATATGTCTCTCTGTTTGTCTGTCTCTTTCTCTCTGCCTTTCTCCCTTCCTTCTTTTTCCTCTCCCTCTCTTCTTTCTCCGTCTCTCTTCTCTATACCTCCCTCCGTTCCGTTTTCCCTCCCCCCTTCCTTCCTTTCCTCCTCCCTTCCTCCTTCGTTCTAATCCCTTCCTCCCTTTCTCCTTCTTCTCTTCCATATCCCTCCTTCCCTTTCTTCCTCCCTCCCTCCCTCTCTTTTTTCCTCCTCCCTCCCCTTCCCTCCTCCCTTTCCTCTATTCCTACCTCCCTTCCTTGCCTCCTTCCCTTTTCTTCCTCCCTCCCTTCTTTCTTCACTTTCCTTCTTCCCTCCTTCCCTTTCTCCTCCCTTTTTACCTCCTTCCCTCGCTCCTTCCCTCCCTCCTTCCTTCCTTCCTTCCCTCCTTCTTCCTTCCTTCTTTTCTTCGCTCCCTCTCTCTTCCTTCCTTCCTTTTTTCCTCCCTCCTCCCTTTCTTCCTCTCCCTCCCTCCCTTCCACTCTCTCTTCCTCCTTCCCTTCCATCCCTCCCTTTTCCTTTCTTCCTTCCTCCCTCCTCCCTTCTTCCCTCCCTTTCTCCTTTTCCTCCCTCTTTCCTTTCTTCCTCCCTCTCTCCGCTCTTCCTCTTCTCTCCTCCCTTTCTTCCTCCCTCCCTCACTCAATTTCTTCCTCCCTCCCTCTCCCTCCTTTTCCTCCCTCCTTCCCTGTCTTCCTCCCCATCTCCTTCTCTTCTTTCTCTTCCTTCTTCCCTCCTTCTCTTTCTTCCTCCCTCCCTTCCTCCTTCTCTTCCTCCCTCCCTACCCCTCCCTTTCTTTCTCCCTCCCTCCCTTTCTTCATCCCTCCCTCCCTCCCTTTTTTTTCTCCCTTTTTCTCATCCATGAAATCCTCCCTTCACCCTCTCCCCTCCCCCCTCCCCCCCTTTACCTGTCTCTCAGCGATCACCCTGGATTGCCCCGCACCCTATTTAAGGGAGAGGGAGGAATGGTCTTGTAGACTTTTTTTGTCTTATTTTTTTCTGGTTCTCTTCTAAGTCCTCAGTTTTATTTGAATTCCGTTTTGTTCATCATTCTTCTTGTTTTTTTTTTATGTATAGACATTTCGGTGTGTTTTTGATTTATTTTTTTCTTATTTTTGTTCTTGTTCTTCTTATCTTTATTGTTCTTATTTTTCTTATGCTTATTATTCTCATTCATCTTATTATCATCATTATTATCATCATCATCATTATCATTATCGTTATTACCATTATTATCATAATATTGCCTTTCTTGCTACTATTCTTACTAGCATCATTGTTATTGTTAATGTTATCATTTGTATTGTTATCATAAGTATTACTAACAGTCATCATTATCATTATTATTGCCCTTATCCTTATCAATATTATCATTAATATTATCTTTATTATTGTCATAATCACTATTATTGTTATCATCATTTTTGTTACTACTACTACTACCATAATCATCTTTATTAGTATTGTCATTATCATTTTTGTTATCTTTATCATTATAACTATTATCATTTTTGTTATAATTTTCATTATTACCTTTATCATTATTATCATTATCATTATCATATTGTTATTACTATCATCATCATTA